AGAGGGTGTGTGTACAGCATGGTGTTTAGTGACCCGGTTGAGAGGGTGTGTGTACAGCATGGTGATTAGTGACCCGGTTGAGAGGGTGTGTGTAGAGCATGGTGATTAGTGACCCGGTTGAGACTGAGAGGGTTTGTGTACCGCATGCCATGGTGATTAGCAGAGAGCCCTACGCACACAGTATGACTATGCCCAGGCTAGTGCTCCCTGGTTTGGACGGATCTTCGTGGCAACATTACTTTCGTTACTCGAACCCTGACGGTCCAAATCTTACGAATTTCGTTGTTTGCAGCCCCCCCCCCCCCCACCCCGGCTACTCGCTCCTGCTTTCCATCACCATGATCACGCGAGGATAGCGCGGCGCTAGCTGGCTATGAGTATGATTCAATAATTAGCGGTAACAATTTACAATGAAAATAATCATGATAATTCGTATGTGAATCTACTCGTTGATCAACTGCCTAGCTGGACCGACGTCCGTGTGTAGGCAATCTGGTTAGTGCAGTCAGCGTCAAGCTGCTGCAGCGAGAGCAGGTACTGGACCAGTGGCAGTGGTGTGACCGCGGCTAGAGCGGGTATCGATATCCCTGGCCGGGAGTACCGCGTGCATAGGGCGCTACGAACCGTTCTGTACGTCGACATCGCTGGCTGCGCACACGGCAAGCACGCATAGAAGAAGGTGAGACGGTGGGAACCAGGGAACCAGGGAGTGCTAAAGGGAGTGCTGAAGGGAGTGCTAAAGGGAGTGCAGTAGTGCTAAACTGAAAATGTTCTAGTACTACATGTTGTAGTCCCTGGTGGTGTGAACGTGGTGAACAATCCTGGAAAAATGTATTGCATGACGTGTGGGACAAAAATCACAGCATGTGCACAGAAGTCTGCGTGCCTATTCTGCATAGAACCTGTGTGATGCGGACACCTCCTTTGTCAGGATGCCTCCGGGCTTCACTGGCCAGGGTGCGTTGCTAGCAGGTGCCCCGGCAGTCAAATATTGCATCTGTCTTCCTTCCTGTGCCGATCAACTAAACTTCAAGTACAATTGTGGCCGCGAAGAAATCCTATCCATGAGTCAAAAGTCAGCGCCCCGTTGCCATTTCTACTTTTTCATGCACGGTCCGAAACAACAACGACAACATCCGAGGACCGCAGGGGACGCATGAGCCATGGCGCTGCTTTCGGCGTGTGGGGCGGATTTTTTGGCCAAGACTGTACTTCGCCACATCTAACTTTTTTTTTAAATGGTAAACTAAAAAAGGTGGCAGCTCTCAGCTCATGTAGTTATTGAGCGACATCATCGATCTTGGTTCAACTGTACGCCGTGGTGTACGTTTAGATCTACGCACGGTCGCTGCATTGCGAACTGCCGGCAGTTTCTACGGCTACCATGCAGGGGCGTCGTGCAGGCTGCGGTCACTACGGTATTGACCGCACCACTCTTTGTCCCGGGTTTTACCCTGTGAATCAATAAACTAGGCATCGATGTTGGCTCTACATGTACATATCGAAAAATGTCAAAGATGCCACCCCCCCCCCCCCCCCCACACACACACACATACACACACACACACATACACACACACACACACACACACACACACACATACACGTAAAATTCAATTGTACGTCAGATGGCTGACCGTACCACCCCAGAACACCTTCCGACACCTGCGGTGCCATGCCCGGAGTTGCCATGGTTGCTGTGCTCAGAAGGGCAGTACCCATGGCAACTGAAGAGCGCACGGCACCGCGTGCTGGATAGAGCCTACACCTACATGTTCATGTACAGCAGCACAGTTGATAGAGACGAGTTTGTTATTGTGCTCAGAATCACGTGCTAAGCGATCATCAGGTCACGTCGTTCTCTGCATTGACGGTAGATTATCCAGGGCGTCACGGGGCAGTGTGTGTGTGGGGGGGGGGGGTATAATCGGGCATCCGGAGTGTCCCCGGAGGGGGGGGGGGAAGAATTGGAATTTTCGGCCAACAGGGCAGGCACGTTTTAGCGCTCTACAGGCGCTCTGGTCTGACTATCCTGGACGAAAAGTAGTATGATCATGGTCATACTGGTCGCACCGTGTTTGACACTCTGGTTTTCTCTATACCCAGGCATATGAGCCGTGACTGGTTTGAATAATGTAGATTTTTAAGTCTTTGAAGCGAATCACACGTACACATATTAGCTACACACCTCAGACCTCAGACCTGCCCATCGCGGAAGCGATGATAGCGAACAGCTATGTTAGACATAGCAACTTGTGCTGGGGTTACACCATTCAACAGCTTGCAAGGCTGATGAATTGACCGCCACTATTTTTAGCTACACACACACACACACACACACACACACACACACACACACACACACACACACGCACGCACACACATGTCCAGTGGGATTCGCGTTAACTCCGAATTTTTGCTCTCTACAATCATTGGGAGACACCGGAACTTGTGTGTGTGTGGGGGGGGGGGGGGAGCTCTGGAGTGCTCATCTGCCAACACTCATATTGAGCACTCTAACATGTCTTCAAGGATCATTCTGTGTGTGTGTGTGTGTGTGTGTGTGTGTGTGTGTGTGTGTGTGTGTGTGTGTGTGTACACGTGTGTGTGTGCATGTGTACACGTGTGTGTATGTGTCAAAAAAGAGGTTTGTGTACGTGTGTATGTGGGTGTGGGTGTATGTGCATGCATGCGTGTGTGCATGTGCCCATCGTGTTTGTACTCAGCAGCTGCAACGATGCCGACTACGTACAATCCGTGGAAAGACGCAGACTTTCTCAAACTGAAGCCAGATCTGGCGGAGAAGATGGACAATCGGACCATGAGAGTCCTGTGCGGATCCGAGCTCTTGATCTCCAGTTCAGATGAGAAGAAGCTCCTTGCAACAGGAGATGAAATAGAACACAACGACCTACTTCTTGACCTGCTGCAGAAGGGGGATGCTGACTCGTTTAGGATATTTGATCGCATGCTACGATCAGACCGCATTGTTAAGTTCAACTTCTCCGAAATCTATCCACGTCTTGACGTTATTCTAGAACGTAAGTGCACTTTCTTAGCGAGTACGCGCGTAACAACATGCAAACCTAGAATTGGCGTGTGCGTGTGTCCATGTGCCATGCATCGTTTGCTCGTTTCCGTGAGACTGCGCAGGGGCGTCGGAAGGTATTTTAGTGTGCTATGGTCAGCAATCTGAAGTACAATTTTCTTGTGGGGGAGGAGGGGTGGCTGAGCTGGAAAAAATGGAAAAAATAGATCCCAGATCAGAGTATTTTATTAATTCACGGGGTACCTGGGGCAGAAAGTGGTACAGTCAATACCGCAGTGACAGTACCGTGTCCGTGAGGCTGCAGCAGCGCATGACAAGATTTTTCCTCCACGGCATGTGTGCTCGTACGCGTGTAGTCAGACAAATCCATGTACAGTCGACTCCGGATAATTATGATGAACGACGTCATGCGGGTGACTCAGTGGATTGACTCAGTGGATTAACTCAGTGGATTAACTCACTACCGTCTTTCTGACATTGCCACTCGAACTTGACAATAGAAGCTGCATTTCGTATGTGCAGTTACATTGAGCCATGGTGTTTTTGTCTTATGTTTGTGAATCCTTCCCGGAAGCAAATGCTGGTTTTTATGCATTCGTGTAATTACTCAGCGTTATTTGCAATAATAATAATAATAATAATAATTAACTCAGTGGATTAACTCAGTGGATTAACTCAGTGGATTAACTAGCACAATCTCCTTGCTCAGAAACTTCCGTTCATCTATTCAACAATTCATAGGGTACCCTGTAAAAAGGCCCTAGGCCTGTGGGACTGCCCTATTCAAAATTTAATAATAACGAGAGAGCTTGGAAGCTCAGGGCCCTACGCTATGCTTTTTTGCCTTGATGACCTAGACAAAAAAAGCATAGAGATGTTATTTATTCTTATAAATTTCTCCTTAAAAAAACATAACCTGGGATTCGAACCCGCACTATCGCCCTGCATGCATCCCCCGATACACTTCGCATACATACTAATTCTTCCAAGTTGCTTCACATTATGATCTTGCATTTGAAAGCCCTATTTGAATATGCATTGTGGCCAGCCGTCTTTGATGGTACGGTACGGGACAGGTACGGTCGAGGGTAATACGACACCGTCTACCGCCTTGATGACCTGGGCAAAAAAGCATAAGGATGTTATACACTTTTAAATTCTCCTATTTTTTTCAGGCATAACCTGGGGTTCAAACCCGCACTATCGCCCTACTTGTACATGCATTCCCCCCATACACTTCGCATTCATACCCATTCTTCCAAGTTGCTTCACGTTATGATCTTGCGTTTGAAAGCCCTATTTGAATATTTCGGCCAGCTGTATGTGGCCAGCTGTGTTTGATGGTACGGTACGGTACGGGACAGATACGGGATAGCGCCAGGCGTGACACAAACAAACAAACACCAAATTAAAGCTGTGTGGACCCTGGCTAGCGCCAGACGTTACTGACGTAACGTCTTCTGCATAGCTACGGGAATAATTAACTAGTTAGAGCCGTGACTTACTGCCGGCTATATGGACTCGCTTGCTGCGGCTTCAGTCACCGCTGTGTTCAACTGGTATAGTAATGGTACGAAAGGCTCAGTCGAAACTATAATTCTGTGCTTCGGGTGCTTATCAGTTTTTTTTATGATGTATGCAACGTACAGAACAGAACAACAAGGCCGCACACTGGCTACATCCTCCGGTATACTCTATATTGTGTATAAGTACAACGTTTCGTTTGGAATTAACTTTCGCTTTA